AAACTTGCATGGCTCTTGAAAGAACAATGATTCTCATTTATGTGCTACTTGACAATTCATATTAGGTTATGCATTGAATGAGGTTGTAACCATTTAAGGATTGCAAACTCGTATGCGAAAAAAAATTCCTCGTTAACTTTATGCAGGGGCCCTAATTTCACCAACCGGACTGGTCAAGTGTTTCTTGGTGGAAAACTTCTTATTACTGACACATCCGCTTAGTAATTTGCGAAAGTTGTTTCTGGGAGAAATTAAACCTGTTAGAAAAAGTGTGAAACGTTAATTGGTACTCTATCCACAGCTTCCTGTTTTATACGGGGTGTACATGAGGAGGCACCCATCAGGAGGGAGCCTTGCAAACGGGGCGATTCTCGTTGACCTCATGCTTTAGCCTGCTCATAAGTGAAAAGACCTGGACCGCCAGAATCAATCACGTTGGCAAATTTTCACCAAGCCAAATAACCCTTTCTAGCAGCCAGAACGCGATATTCTCACCTCCCACACCACGAATCCTTAGCGTACGCTATGGTCCGACCACTTATTGCTAAAGACTAAAGGGTTTAGGGCTACAGCGGTTGTTTCTACCCCCCCCCCTTTCTTTCTTCTCTTTGGTCACATACTCCGAACTGTACCTCATCATTTTTCCTAGGTTTTCGAATATGTGGACCGCGACCTCAAGCAGTACATGGACGCCTGTAATAACGTACTTACAATGAATAATATCCGGGTATGTTGAGCTTCTTTATTGTTCTGTTCCAATGTCATGTGGTAGTTGCCCCTTCACTGCTTTAAAGTAATAAACTCGATCGTTCGTATGTGCTAAAAGTGTATTAACGGGGAATGGTCTAATTAATATCCTTTCAGTTATTCCTTTTCCAACTGCTCCGAGGTTTGGCCTACTGTCACCAACGCCGAGTACTTCATCGTGACTTGAAACCACAAAATCTTTTGATAACTGGAAAAGGCGAACTGAAGTTAGCCGATTTCGGCTTGGCACGAGCCAAATCTGTACCGACGAAGACCTATTCGAACGAGGTGGTGACATTGTGGTATCGACCGCCGGATGTGTTGTTAGGTAAATTGAATCGTTTTTTTATTGCAGTCTTTATAGCAAAAACACCAGCAGTGAATAGTCATGTTTTCGTTGACGTTTAGCTCTCAATATTTCTCCATTTACTGCATTTTTTTATTTTGGCCCGACTCGTTTTATGCACAGCTGGTGGTATTCGTCACTGCAGAACCAGTTTCCATTTGAGCTCGTTACAGTTTGCCTGGAATCGGCTATGGGGACCTCATCATATCCCATCATATCCATCAATCTCAGCCCCAAGGCTCTATTTCACAATGGGCCAAGTTGAAGCGTAGTACCAAGTCGGAATATCTGGCACCCACCACCCATGAAAGAACTAAGCTGAAGTTTACCATCTAAGCGTATTCTTCGCAAAGGCGAAGCTGAAAGTCGTAGAATGGGTGTGGGAGTGACGAATTCGCCCACGCATGGCCTACATCCGACAGCCACTGCCCCTGACATTCTTATCACTTTTTCACGAAAACAAACAGAAAACACGAAAACAATTCGCTTTCGCTCTCATCTTTTCCTTTTACTGTTTTTGAGCGTAACTTTCAACAACAAAATGAAACTCCAAATTCCTTATTCAAAAGGGAACAAAAGATTGGAATGGAAATGAAGTTGAGATAATCGCTGTTAGACTCCCATGAGGCCTCTGAACAGCACAGTAATCAGTTATTTTTGAACTTGCCCTCTCTTCTTTGTTATTCCTCAACAAGTCTGTGATGAGTGAGTAGGTACGGGTTTCATTGATGTAACTGCCCTAAACGCTGAAGCGAATAAGTCCGTCCTCGTTTTCGGCGAGGAAAATGGGCTAACTTCTCTACACCATTTTAATACTATTATTAGGGTGTCCACAAAGTTCGTTGGCCATTCGTTTTTTCAGAGCTGGTAAAGATATCTCACCAAGTTGAACTTACCGGTCCATGATATAATCTCCATGCATACCCACTACCTTTCGCCAACGATCGGGTAGAGAGGCAACTCCATCCTCCCAAAAGCTGGCCGGCCGCGACTCGGCCCAGTCCTCGATCACGTCCTCGAGGTCGCGCTCGTTCTTCAGCTGTTTTCCGTCCAAGAAATTTTGCATGGACCGGAAGATGTGGTAATCGCATGGACTAATGTCCGGGCTATACGGTGGATGCGTGATCGTCTCGATGCCCAGCCTGTCCAGGACGGCCTGAGTATCTCTCGCTTTGTGGGGGCGCGCGTTGTCTCAGAGCAACCACGGATTTGCAAGTTTCTGGGACAAGGCGGCAGCTTTCACCTTGACCTCCTGCAATTCTTTAGAGAGGGTCTCTGCCGTCACTGTGGCATTGTTGGGTAGGGTGCTATAGTGGACGACGCCGTGGCGAGAGAACCAGAAACCTCGGCATATCTTCGATGCCATAGTTTTCATTGGTGAGGCGAGTCCACCATTTTGACATCCAGTTCTTAGAAGGGGTGTTATTACCAAACTGCTGACGCATCCTGGTCGTGGCCTGACGTCTGGAGATGCCCAGGTTGTAGTAGTCCAGCAAACATCGGCGGTGGTGGTGACTATCACTCATCTTCACTGCTTTATTGTGGGAAGAGCAGGAAAGGAAATTTAGAGCTAGCTAGCTCAGAAGATAGCCCATCGCGAGTACTTTCAGTATTGCGAAATCTTTATGCAAAATCACAACGCGTTGCGTAACGCGACGCTGTTTACAAATGGCCAACGAACTTTGTGGACACCCTAATATGTTAACGTTATCATAGTAAGGGTAATTCTATAACGAATCACGCCCGAAAATTGAATCATTTCGGGCGTCGTTCAGATCGGAGAAGGCGATGTGTTTCTTTGGGAGATTTCGAATCCAAAATGCTGATCTCTGTGCTTTCAAAATCTGCCGAGCATTTCTCTGTACGGAGCCATGAAAGTTTTCACCATGCTTGTTAGTTTCGCGCCAGAAAGTTGTAAGGTAGCGGCGGCAAGGCCCAAGTGTGCAAGTGACTCCGAGAAAAAGTAAGTGATTCCGCCCACGCTGATAGTTATTTCGACGGCTGTCTAACTCTACTGCGTACTCTCTCGCTGTTTTTGTCTGGCCTATCGCCCGAGAACCACATCAGTTTTTTGACTCTCGCTTAGCCTGTTTTCGAGCGTTTTCGACTGTTTCTTTTGCTCTTTATTCTTGAGTCACTTGGCACTTACACCTCCATTTCTAACCCAATACCAACGAATTTCTCGCTAGTTCATAGTGAATTCTGCCTTTAAGTTACGCTTGGAGCAGAAAAACAGCATCCAGCTCATGTTTTCCCGTCATCTCCAACATTTCGTCGTACACAATGCCAAAACTGCTCCAGCAGGTCTACTTGGCATTCCAACCCATTCAGCCGCACTAGCAGCCCCTATGAAAACTCAAAACTCTCATATAGCCATTTTCTGCGATGCACTTTCCACCCTATCTGTACTTTACATATCAGTAAAGTTTTCTCAGCCCAGGCAGAAGACGTTTATAGAGTACCAGGGCGGAAGATACCCAAGATGTTCCTCGATAAGCAGGAGCAGGCTCTCGCCCATCACCTTCATGTACACCAAAATATGAAGTCATCTCCAGCAGCCTGACTGGAGAAGGCCTTGGAATTCACGTCACCTCCAAACAGCTGCGAAACTTCTTGTATGGAGTCACCCATGGACAGCTACCTGGAGACCAGCACTCTTGATCTGGAAGACCTCCAACATCGAGCAGCTCCGACAACGTCGCTACGGTCCAGGATATCATCTTCACCAAGGCGCGGGTTGATGGTATGGACCGGAAGTTCCTGGAATGGGAAGACCGATATTTTCTTCGTGGACCCCGGACTGAAAGTGAACGGTTAAATCGACCAACTCGAGTATCCTGCCTTCATGTCGTCGCCTGTACCATCTTGGAAACTTCGTACTGCTACAGGATTGGGTGCCACCACATGGAATCGAAGGGCGTTGGAAAAACTCTCGCCTACTTACTTGGAACGGAAGGGCGTTGAGTAC